CCTATGGGGGAATTTTGCTGGACGATGATTTGGTCCATGCTTCGCGGACCATTTATTCACAAGAAGACGATTTAAAACAGCTGATTGGCGGCTTGATCTTCACAAAATGGGTGTTTTCGGGCCCGTTTTTCGCAAGGCAGCGATTTAAAACAGCCGATTGGCGCTCGCAAAATGGCTGCCCTATGGGAGATCTTCGCAAAATGACGAGGTATTTTCCCCACTGGAATGCATTAAATGGGTTTCAATGCATTCCAATGGGGAAATGGTTTTCACATGATTTCGCTAAACAGCGATTTTCACGGAACAGATTATCATCATCATGCAGGGCACCACTGTAGTATATGCGGTCCAATGCAAAGAGGAGTGTTTGGAGCTCTACATTGGAGAAACCAAAAAGCCACTAAACAGGAGAATGGCCCAGCACAGGAGGGGCAATGGCTCACAACCACAATCAACAGTGTTCCTTCATTTGAAGGACAAAGGACACTCATTTGATGACCGAGATGTACTCACTTTGGACTGAGAACATAGGTGGTTTGAAAGAGGGGTCAAGGAAGGCCATACATGTGCATATAGAAAATCTCTCACTCAACAGGGGTGGAGGCTTTAGACACCATCTGTCTCCTATTTATGCTGCCCTTTCATCCATCCCCAGAAAGATTAAGACCACACACACCAGAAAGACCACCGTTCACAACTGTTGAGGACTCATGACAATGGGTGGAGAAGGACTGCAGAGGTGGGATTTTCACTCACCCCCTCATCCTTTGTCCATCTATTCAGACCAAAGGGAAGTGAAACCAATGTGGAGGATATATCATGGGTCTCCTACCAACTCTCCTCAGACTGAGGAAGCTACCTGGATGAGTAGTGAAATGTTTCAACCTAATAAGAAAGAAATCTAATTGCCATGACTCAACTTCTAGATAACCTCACCTGGATGACTGGCAATCTTCACAGATATACACTGTAATGTTGGAACTTTCAGCGACTTTAATAGGGCTTTCAAGGTAAGTGGGATATTTAAGGAATAGTTTTATCAGTTCTAACCCCCATCCCAGTGAACTTCCATGGCTGAACAGGCATTTGAACACAGGTCTCCTGAGTCCTAGTCCATCTCTATTCAATGCAACACACTGGGTACCTGAAGCTGTTGTTGCTGGCACGTGCTGTCACATTGCCACTGACTAATGGCAACCTTATTAATGAGGGATCTCCAAAATGTCCTGTCCTCAACAGCCCTGCTCAGCTCATGTAAATTCAAGGCTATGGTTTCCTTAGGGAGTCAGTCTAACTCTTATTTGGCCTCCCTCTTTTCCTGCTGCCTTCAACCTTTCCCAGCATGTCTTTTCCAGAGAATCTTGCCTTCTCATGATGTACCCTTGGAGAGGTAAAGGCTAGCTCATGTGTGCTGGTCTTTTGCCCTTCCTGGCTTATAAAAGGCACCAGAGAGGAACTGGCCAAGTAGATAGGAAAAGTGGTGAATGCTTAAAGGAGGCAATAGTAAGAGCATTGCTAAAAAAGCCCTCCTTGGATCTCAATGTATTGAATAATTACCAGCCTGTCTCTAATATTCCGTTCATGGGCAAAGTATGGAATGGGTTGTGGCTTCACAGCTCCCGAGGTTGGATGAAATGGATTATTTACAGGGCTTGAAAATTTTTAGAATGTCTCACCAGTCAGTCAAAAATTTCACCAGTCAGCATGACCAGACTATAGCCTTGCAATTTATGTTAACAAATTTAAACTAGGCACTTGTTCACTTTTATTTCTATGTGTGGTGCTGGAGGAGACTCTTGAAAGTCCCCTGGACTGCAAAGAGAACAAACCTATCCATTTTGAAGGAAATCAACCCTGAGTGCTCACTGGAAGGACAGATCCTGAAGCTGAGGCTCCAATACTTTGGCCATCTCATGAGAAGAGAAGACTCCCTGGAAAAGACCTTGATGTTGGGAAAGTGTGAAGGCAAGAGGAGAAGGGGACAATAGAGGACAAGATAGTTGGACAGTGTCACCGAAGCTACCAACATGAATTTGACCAAACTCCGGTGGAAGACAGGAGGGCCTGATGTACTCTGGTCCATGGGGTCATGAAGAGTCGGACACAACTTAATGATTAAACAACAAACAATGCATAGAAACCCAAAATAAATTGTATCACACACACACCTGTGTCTTCTTAGTAAAAACTGCACTGCTGTCAGAGGTTGCACTTGTGTCCTTGAACATGCCAGGTAGTTTTAGCACTGAAGTACCATTTATCAACGGCTTTTTGCAGGGCCCAGGAGATAATCAATGGTGTTTCTGGACTAGAATTCCCAGCAGCTTTCACTACCAGCTGTGCTGTTTCCCAATCTAGGGTCCCCCCAGGTGTTCTTGGACTGCAATTCCCAGAAATCATCACCAGCAGTTGGCCAGCACAAGAAGCAGACCAAGAACACCTGGGTGACCCAAGCCTGGGAATCACTGATTTATACCCTCAGACTTGGGTTGCTTTATTACCTGCCTGCCTGTGGGGTCATGAAGCTTGTACAGTATTTTGAATCCCTTTCTTTTGAATGTCTCCAGCAAAAATAAAACTGAAAGCAAAAGTGCCCGGCCACTTCAGGAGCCAAGGTTCCCTCCCACCCCAGGATGTGTCCTTGTTCAGTTGAAATTGGGAGCAGGGAATCTTCATATTTCCAGCATGGTAGAAAAGTGGGATAAAAATATTTTAAATGAATAATAATACTTACATTTAGTTTTTTTTAAAAAGAAGTGGTATCGTATCTTGTGAAGTGGCATGGCCAATGTTTTCTATAATGTATTCTTTGTCTCCTGACCTGTTCTAGAATACACATTATTTATCTCAGAATTCCACCACATAACCACAGCAAGGAACAACCATACTAGATACTAATAAATAGGCATTGCAACCTGGTAGTCCATAGTTGAGTAACCTCTAAACTAGAAGCACTGTTTGAACTTGTACAAGCAAGGTCAACAGTGCCTTGCAGAAAAAGCATTTTTAAGAGTGCTAAAGAAGCAACTTCTAACCCAAGAAATTCTTCAAGACTCATTGCAAACTTGCAGACTGTTGGACTGAGTGCAGTTCACAAATTATGTAGGGTAACTGGTCTTAGTTTAATCCATTACGTGACAAAGTACAAAACTCCTGAAGATATGAAGAGAGACATCTCAGGAACCCTTTTCAGCCCCCTTCACTAAAAGCTGACTCAGCCAATATGATCTCATAAAGGTGAAAGATCCTTGCCTTCCCTTACTTGTGGACATTTTCAGCCCTACTGCTTTCCCAGAAGATAAACTGTGATTATTTGTCTCAGAAGGCATGTTCCGCTTACCTATCCCCAGCATTTAGTATAAAAATCTGGCTCTGCTCTCCTGTTATTCCATAAACATATTTAACTCAGTGGTTTTCTTCCCAACCCATGACTGCAGCCAAACATACTCCCATTTTTGCCCAGCATTTTCAACACAGTTTATTTGAATTGCATGATAAATCAGTTCCACCCAGCCTGAATAACAACCAAGCCTGTCCATTATTGAAACTTTGCAGTTGAGGAAAAGTGAAATATCACATACTCCAACTGCTTTTTTCTTTTCCTGTCCATCTATGTCTCTGTTACAGGAGTACACTGGAAGGGAACTTTTCCAACTCCATCAAAACCACTAATTTTCAACAATGACAGTAGGTCACTGCAGCAAATACAGTAAGGAGGTTTATGATAACTTAAAGAATAGCAAAAGTTATTTGATATTATGTTTTTGATTGTTGCTCACTTTCAGTTGCATCTTCTTCAGAAGCATCTAAAGAAGTGTTCCAGGGTCCATGAATGTTTATGCCAAATAAAACTTGCCAGTCTTCAAAGGTGGCACAATACACTATTGTTTTTCTTGTACCAAAATTAACAGGATCTACCTCAGAAAAAAGCACTAGCTCTCTATGAGATATACTATGGTCTCTTTTTCAGAAATTTACCAGAGAACAAATTTCATCTCCCACCAATGTATTTTACCCCCTCATGCAACCCACCCCCAATAGTCTGTTGTCACTCTTTCAGGCAGGAGGAAAATGAGACTCCACACCTTAATCTTCTTCACACAGAAAGCTGGAAGACGGGCTCTTTATTCTCCGACAGCCAAGTGAGGCCTTTTGAGAAGGCTCCCTTGCCTCTAAAGGTCCTCCGCTGTGCACACGTCCTTGAAACCCCCTTGGCTTCCGTTGAGGCTTCTGTTGAGTTGTGTACCCATAAACACGCATAAAATCGTACACGAGCTGCACAAAAAGATGACTTTCACTCTGGCGCCGCTTTATCTGTTATCACACCGCAGCAGCTGCTGGAGCGAGAAGACTCCAGGCCCGGCGGCTTTTCCCCCCTTCAGGGCACACGACCGGCGAGGCTAGCAACCCTCCCGCCAGCCGCGCTTGCCGCGCCAAAACCATGGGCCCCAGCCCTCTTCAGAAAGGCGTGCTAATGGCAATGTGGGAAGCCGCACCCGTCACGTGCCGATGGAAACATGTGAAACCATTCTTCTAGCGTGGAGGGAGACTCGCGGATGTCTCCGAGGAAAACAGCGAGATGGATGAAACCGAGGGTGTCCCCCCCCCACATCCCATTTCTTTCTGGAAAGGAACTGGGGAAGCTCATTTCCTTTCCTCTCTTCCCACCGCCAAATGACAGACTCCACTGATGTTAGACATGATGCCTCATCCCGATCTCATCCCTCAGAATTAATATTCATAAATTATGTAACATAGTCCACGTCCCAACAGTAGACCCATTTAAAAACAATACACTCCAGCTAATAATTTACGGCGACATCTGACACCTTTCGAAGAGAACAGCAGCTCAAAGAAAAAGGAGCCACCTCTCAGAGGAAAGGAACGCTCCCCCCCCCTTTTTTTTCCCCCTCGGCACGCCAAGCCTTCCCTTCGCCCAAGCCAGGCTGCCAGTTTCTTGCCGTAACATCCCGGCCCGCGGCAGCCAATGGCTCGGCGGCGACGAGGCGGGGCGACGGGCGGGAGCTCCTCCTCTCTGTGGAGAAGAGCTGTCTTGGCCGAGGTAGCGGCGCAGGCTGAGGCGAAGCCGGAGTCGGGGTAGCGTCCCAGGTGGAGGAGGAGGGCGCCTGGAGCAGGCCGAGGCTTGAGGAGCTGCTGCTGCTGCTGCTGCTGGAAGACCTTCCCTCAGCCATGGGGAACACTGTGGCTCGAGAGGATTTCGAATGGGTTTACACGGACCAGCCGCATGCCGACCGGCGCAAGGAGATCTTAAGTGAGTGCGCACTTCGGCGGTGCTTTTTCCCCGCCGCCCCCGATTGTCTTTCCGCCCCTCATGCGCTCGACTCTCCCTCCGCTTCGTTTCCTTCCTCCTCGCTGCTGCGGCCGCCTTTATTTGGCGAAGAAGGCAGAGGCCACCGCTATCCCCTTGGCAGGCGTCTCCCTTCCCTCAAGGCGGCTCGATAGGGTGGGGCGGGGAGGGAAGGCTGCCTTTTCTCTCACGGCGTCCTCCGCTCCGAGACGCTCCCCCCTCAGCTCTGCCTTCTTGGCGGAGGGCGGCTTGACCCGCTCGCTTTCTCCTCAGGAGGCGCCGGCGCTGCCTTCTGGAGCCTCCATTGACGCCGGGGAAGGAGGCCGTGTGTTGAGAGCGGGCGAGCTGAAGTATCAGGAGATGTAATAATGAGTCACAGGCGAAGGGCTTGGCTGGAGACCCGTTATTACATGTGGCTGGTTCCTTGCCTCCCGCCTTCCCCCTCCGCTTCCTCGGCCTGTTTCAGGTCCGTGCCGCCACCCGAGCTGCGGAGAGCCTCTTCGTCACGGCTCGGTCGTGGTGACCTCGTGCTAAGGATTGAGGAGGGTTTTGCCCGGAGTTTGGGCCAGCGAACTTTGAAATCGTGCTATTAACTAACCTCTGGGCTGAAGTCCCAGACAATTAGTTCCCACACGTTTAAACTTGTCTCCAGCGGACTTTTCTTGTGCGTTGGGCTTCTGTGGTAGACTCTTAAGAAACAACCTTAAGGTGGGCGGGCTGGGGCTGGGGGGGCTAGCTTTGGCCCCAGACAAACTCAGAAGGACCCCTAGAACAGAGGGTTTCCAACCTTTTTTCTCATGGCGACCCACAAATCCGAGTGTCCTTGACAAAATAACCAGTACATTTATTCTCACACGGCCTTTGGACTGTTAGTCGTCTGTTGTAGTCCAGTCTGGCATTTTAACTTCAGGTTTGGATGTTTTACAGCCATTATCAGACAAGCCCAGGAGGGGAGACAAGCGAATGTTTAATAACCCTGTTAACGAAGAGTTCATTGTTGCTGTCAATATTATAACAGCACAAAGTCATAAAAAACATTCAAAGATAGGTTAAGGGTTGAAAGAAATAATTTTGGGTTTACCAGCATATTCCATTACCTCATTTGATGGGTATTGGGATTCACTTCTAGGAACTGGATATCCCAGACGCTCTTTGGAGCTGTGCATCCTGGAAAATTATTGATCAAGTTAAAACTTATATTGACAAGTTGTCACAGAGGAGCTGTTCTTTACTTTTGCACCTTGTTACTGGAAATCTCTTTGCATTTACCCAAGAACTAGGATTGGCTCCATCCTAGTTTCTTGAAAGATGTGAAAGAGTCTTTATTAGGAAGAGGCTGCCTTCTCATGATACAACCAATGTACAGTATCCTTGTTTCATGGAGAGAGTTCAAATTTGATTTGATTTAATAATCATGTGCTGCCCCACTCATTTGTGTATCTTGCGATTCATAGTATCCATACAACTTTCTCCACATTTTAGATGAATTTTTTTTACTGATCAGCTTTCTTTAGTGCCCAATTTTCATAGTTTCACATGGTCTGCAGAACTCATCTAGTTCTTTTATAGCTCTCCTTCCAATCATTAGTCCTTCTGAATTTTTAGTTGCAGTTTCTGTTTGGGTTTATGATTGAAGATCTTCTAAATATTTTGATTTTTCATAGCATTAAAGTGCAGTTCTTCTGTAGTCATTATTTTTGTCTTCAACTGTATTCATACTTTTGTACTTTCTTAACTTTTCTCATTTGTTTCAGGATGTTGTTCTGCCACTGCTGGACTGTTCTGTGCATATCTTAAGTTACTGATGTTTCTTTCAGCAATTTTCATCCTTTTATCTGAATAAATTTTTATTCCTCTATTTGAACTTAATGCAGGTTTTTTATATAATATGTATTGCACAGAGATAAAAAGTACCCTTCAGTAACAGCTTTGCCAGTGGGAAACCCTTCTGTCTCTCCATTATCTGGCTCTAATTAGCTTTTTGTCTATAGATTATGCATTAGAACAGTCAAACGTTGTGGCATGCTTACTTCTTTTAGAATGGTTCATAGCTTTTCATTAGCCACAGAACCAAATGTTTTGCTGAATTTGACCAAACTCTGGGAGGCAGCAGAAGACAGGAGGGCCTGGCGTACTCTGGTCCATGGAGTCACGAAGAGTCGGACATGACTTAATGACTAAACAACAAAAAAAGCACAGAGTGATTTTCCCCCTGAAATTCTGTGGCATGCTCTGATAGCCTATTTATATTTGCAATATGGTCTTTAGTGTCTCTTCCTTTTCCAACTTGAACATTTAGCTAGTCTCAGTCCATATGTAGCAAAAATCTTTGTTGTAAAATCTTGAGCATCAGTTTCCTTGCTTTGGAAATTAATGCAGTGGTGCTATAGTTCCTGCAATATTTGGGATCTTCTTTCTTTGGAATTGGAACATATATTGAACATTGTGGGCTATTGTTTTGTTTTTCACATTTGCTGGCATAGTCTTTTGATAGATTGAGTCTCAGTAGTTTGAAATAGTTTTGTTGGTATCCCATCTATTTCTGGTGATTTATTTTTTTCCAAGTCCTTTGACAAGAATAGCTTCACTTCATTTTCTAAAATGGGGGGGTCTTCATTACAGGATTCTTATTCGCATAGTCTTTTGATAGATTGAGTCTCAGTTTGAAATAGTTCTGTTGGTATCCCATCTATTTCTGGTGATTTATTTTTTTCCAAGTCCTTTGACAAGAATAGCTTCACTTCATTTTCTAAAATGGGGGGGTCTTCATTACAGGATTCTTATTCGAAGATGTCTGCTATTCTTCCAGCTGTTTGTATAGTGCTTCAGTATGTTACTTTCATTTTTTCTTTTTTATATTTCTCGATTATATTCCGATGTTGATATTTCACTATCCCTAAGCTTGGTTTAAATTTCCCTTTCATTTTTTAATTATTTCTTGATTTTTTCTTTTTTTCTTTTTTATTTTCTGTTTCTCTGCGCTGAGTGCTGTAATAATCCTTTTGTTCCTACTTGGTAGTTACTGAAACATTGCATCCTGTTACCCTTTACAATGCTTCTCATCTGCTGTTGATCAGTTAATTGCTTAATTTAAGAGTCATGCATTGGGGTGTTTTATTTTCATTATAGGAATAGTCTTTCTGCATTATTCACAGGTAATATCTGTGGTTTCAGTTTGCACTTCTGGTTCACAATCAGTTGAATTTCGTAATATAGCTCTGTTATTTATATGCACTTCAATTGCTTCATGAATGTTATATAAATAATATTTTGGCACTGTGATTGTTTTAGTGATTCTATTTTGATTAACTCTCTTCCCCCCTCCTTTCTTTTTCTTTTTGCAAAGTAAAAATCTAGAAGCACAAAACTTGATGTTTAGCTGAATCGCAGACCTAATCTTTACTTTATTCTATTGTATGGATTTGATTCTTTGGTATATTTTAAAAATGGATTTTTTCATGTACTTTTTACTCTAAAAAAAGTAATCTCTGGGCCCATCTTCCTTATGTAATGATAGAGTCTTACTAGTATCCAGAGACTGAAATCTTGTTGAGTTGTGCAGTGCATCAGCCACAGCCGTGCCAAACCCATTTTGGGGCAATAAAAAACTTCCTAGAGTTTCCCCCAGGCTTTCAGGGATCTCTGGGGACTGATGGCAGTGATTTTCCAGGTAATGGTTCCCCGTCCTGATCTACAGCTCCCAAAGCTTCTTTCAGGATGAAAGGGATCCCCAGGAATCTTGAAAACATGAGGGAAGGCAGGGCAATAGTAATTTTTTAATGGTCCTGAAATGATTGGAGTTAATGATGTCATCCTCATGCTCTGTCAGCAGGATTTCAGTCAAAGAGATGTTAGGAATACTAAAGGTTATAACAAGATTAAAATCCTCAGCAATTCACCTTCAGGTTGGTGCTCCCTCCACCACGTCCTAGGCCTGCTGCAGTTAATAGTGTTGATGTAGAGCAAAAGTTAGGTCTGGGAGTTGGCATTCTGATAGCAGTTTGTTTATTCAGTACTTTTCTTGTTCAGAGCAAATTATATAGTGATGAAAAAGCAATAGCATAACACTAAAGTCAAATTGTGCTTATCATCTAAAGCTGCCTGAGGCTGATGGGATTTGGGGGAATTCAATGTCATCAAGAGGACTGCAGGTTGTTGTAATGAAAGCAGAAGCCATATTTTAGAGGGTGGTGTGGGGATAATATTCAGCTGTATTTCTTAGTCCAGATCTGTGGACAGATCCATGGTATTAATAACATAAATGGCCTATATATAGTTGTTCTGTACCACATTCCTGTTGCTTTTACATTAGTCTGTAGTGCTGTACTAAGGCATCTAATATTTAACATAACCTTCTAACATATGTACGATCTTCTGTAGGAAGCAGAACTGAAATATGACAAAGTTACAATAGGAATTCTGAAGAACTATCAATTGGTAATAATTTTCCTTTTTTCTTTCTTTTTTTCTTAACAGGCAGACATCCAGAGATAAAAACCTTGATGAAACCAGATTACAATGTGATCTGGTTAGTTTTACTGATGGTGTTTGCACAGCTGGTTGCTATGTATCTAGTTAAAGATTTGGACTGGAAGTGGGTTATGTTTTGGTCTTATGTGTTTGGAAGTTGTCTTGACCATTCCATGACTCTGGCTATTCATGAGATTGCGCACAACAGTGCATTTGGCAATTGTAAAGCTTCATGGAATCGATGGTTTGGAATATTTGCCAATCTCCCACTTGGCCTCCCATACTCAGTATCCTTCAAGAGATACCACATGGACCATCATCGTTATCTTGGTGGTGATGGAATTGATGTAGACATTCCTACCAACTTTGAAGGATGGTTTTTCTGCACCCGTTTTCGAAAGTTAATTTGGATTATTCTTCAGCCTTTGTTTTATGCCATTCGACCTCTCTGTATTAATCCAAAACCAATCTCTCGACTTGAAATCATCAATTTGTCAATTCAGCTTCTCTTTGATGTTATGGTATACTACTTCCTGGGAGTAAAGTCTCTTTTGTATTTGATAGCAGGAGCAATACTTGGATTGGGCCTGCATCCTATTTCAGGACATTTCATAGCTGAACATTATATGTTTTTGAAAGGGCATGAAACATATTCCTACTATGGACCACTTAATAAGCTTACATTCAATGTTGGCTATCACAACGAACACCATGACTTCCCTAATGTTCCTGGAACAAGTCTTCCATTGGTAAGTACAGAAGAATACAAGTAACTTGGCCTTTGTGTTTAGCTGTTTGTTTGCTTACCTAGAGTGAACAATCTCTTATAGTCACATAGACTGCTGATGCTATTCAGCCTCTGTGCTGTGATTTGCAGATCTGGGGGGTGGGGGAGAAGGTGCATTTCTGTAGTTGTGAAGATAATTAAAGTGATGCACTGTCTAATTCTATGCATGGTTAAAGCATGCAAAATAGTGAGAAGAACAGTAATATTCCAGATTTAATCTTGGTTCATGCTGAAGATGATAGTACTTCAGACCTGTAGTATATTGTTGAACTATAGACAAAGTATTATGTCCTGTAAAAATTTTGAATTTTGATGCCTTTGAGGAACCCAAAGGCTCTACAGTCAGCTTGCTGGGCAGGAAAGAGAGCAGAATAAAATTTCATTCAATTTATATCATTGGGAAGAGATTGAGCTATTCCAGCTGTAGGACTGGTGTGGAGCAGGAGGTGATTTGGGAATGGATCTAGAGGCCAATAGAGCTGTGTGTATTTACAGCCTCTTGTAGCATGTCCATTGGCCCAGTTCTGGCATGCTACCTTCTCCCTCTTGAGGTTGGAGCTCTGAAGAGGAACAGATAGACAGAAGTTTCCAAAGGAATATTTGAAGCTAGACATTTCCTTCTGAGAGGGGGGCTCTCTGCTATGAGAGGGAGAGAGCTGAAAAATCTTATTACCTTTGGTACAAATCTTATTACCTTTGGTACATTCTCTTGGTTCTGGACTAAAATATTCTTGGGGTTCTTTTATGCTCAAATGACTTGAGCATAAAACATCAAATTAAAGCTGCCTGTATTGTGCAGGTAAAGTTCTCATCAGTCTCCTTCCTCCACTCTTTCCTTCTTTTGCCACCATGGGAAACCATGCAGTTAGTCAAATTAATCAGATTTCTCAACAAAAATGTTTGTTGAAGGGGGAAGAAATATCTTTGGTTAAGAGTTTTGCTGTCTCTGTGGACAGAGTGCCTGATAGTTGCTTTGTATGTCATGTTGCCACTCATCCTTTTCTGGTACACAGGTGCATGCATACCATGAAAAAAGAAAAAGGCAAAATGCTGCAAAAATAAAAGCAATCAGCATGTGTAAAACTGGGGTGAAGTGAATAGCTTGGGTTCTATTCTTTATGCTGCCATGACCTACTCCACTCAAATCCTACACAGTGGCACAGATTATCACACATAGATGTTTGGTTGATGGGATTGACATCTGCTGCTGCCCATATTTCATGATTTTTTGATATTTGTAAGCTGCCCGGAGTAGACACTGTCTAGGGGGTGGGGTAGAAATCTAATAAAATAAATAAATAAATAAATAAAAACAAAGAAGTATAGAACAGAATTGCTTCCCAATACCCTCTCTGCTTCAGAGCCCAGCCCTTCTTCTGGTTTACGGAGTTAGCTGGGAAATACCTAGAGAGCAGATGGAGGAAGGATGCGTCAGATTATAATTTAGCTGCAGTAAAGAAACTGACCAAGAGCTATGCCAACACTGTTAAATTGGGAAGAAATGCATTTAATATCAAGATTTATCAGTGAGGCAATGAATCAACAAGCAGAGCTCTTTCATGTGGTCCATGGCTTCACTGACCCTGATTGGCTAACTTGGGGGGTCTCACCTGTGATTAGTTTGTGGCCCTAAACTGAGGCCCTTCAACGTGACCAGGACTTCTTTGGCAGTGCAGCAGATCAAATTGAGGTTTGTAGTACATTGGCCTTCTCCCATCTGTTTGGTTCAGTTTCAGCTTGTGACATTGCCAGAGTGCTTGTGCACTGCAACCCTCCCGCCTCAGTACTCAATCTTTGCCCATCCTGGTTACTGAAAGCTGCCAATGGGATTATATTAATGAATTAATTCAATCAATCAATTTATATACCACCCATGTGGCCGAAGGACACTCTGGTTGGTTTACAACATAGATGAACAAAAATCAATCAAAATCACAGTGGACTGGGCCAAAAACATGGTAAAAGTGCCTTTGAGGGAAGGAAGTATGCCCTCCTATGTGAAACAGGGAGCCCATCCTAAACTAATCAAATTTAGTGATGATTTAAACAACTAAATTAAATGGCCCATTGCAAATATCCCCTTTATGACCAAAGTAACTGGATGGTGGCGAATCAGCTCCAAGCTTTCCTTGAGGAGGAGGATTGGTTGGATTAATGTCAGTCTGAGTTCAGGCCACACCATGGCTCCAAGGCAGCACTGGGCACACTGTTAAGAGAGGTGGTGGAATATTTTGATACTGTTGACCATGATACTTTCCTGATTAGGCTGTTGGGATTGGGATTGGACAGCTGGCACTTAGCTGGTCCTGATCCTATCTCTAGAGAGTTCAGCTTTGGGAGAAATTGAGGTCCCCTTGGACCCTCAGCTGTCGGTTGCCCCAGGGGTCATAGATTTCCCCAATATTCTTTAACATATATGTTAGGCTGCTGAGAGAGATCATCTAGAGATTTGGAGTGCCCTGATGATGCACTGATGACACACTACTGTATCTCTTTCATATTTTCTGCAAAGAATGCTGTCCAGGTCTTGAAGCCATGTTTGGCCACAATTTTGGATTAGAAAGGGGCTAATAGGTTGAAATTGAACCCAGATTAACATGGAGATCCGTCTTCTGGATAGGTTAATGGGTTGTCTCCTTAAGGTGAATATATTTATCTTTCCTCTTAAGAACTGAGTGAATAACCTGGAGCTGTTCCTAGATCTGGCTCTCTCCTGTTAACACCAAATACTGTATTTGACTATGGCTAGGTTAGCCTTTAATCAATCTACGCTGATTGCCCAGTTACGTTCCTACCTGGAAGATGGGTGCCTGCACTGGTGATCTCAAAGATTGAGTCTCTATGTGGGGCTGCCCTTGAAGCTGACTTGAAAACTACAGGTGGTGCAGAATGTGGTGGCTAGGCTGGTTTCAAGCATGAATAAGTTTGAGCACACCTCCCCAGTACTGGGCTCATCTGCATTAGCTTCCTGGTCTGTTCCTGGCCCCGTTCAAGGTTTTGGTCTGAACCTATAAATCCCTTAATGGTTTGGGATCCTGCTACATGGCGGAACATCTTTCCCATAAAACTGCAGCCTGTGCCATGTGGTTCTCACAGGTCTTGCTCTTATGGGTTGTCATGCCGAGAGAGGCAAAGAAGATCTCAACTATACTTTATAGTATAGGAATGCAGCGTGTGTACTTCTGGCAAGTACTTGCCTCCACCCAGCATTCTGACATATAAGACATAGTTTTGAAAGATGTGTGTTATTCCACTCTGCCAAACAATTCTTAGTTGGTTCCTGTGTAGGACATATTAATATTAGCAGCTTTCTTTGCTGGTTGTAAGCATTAAATCTAGATTTGTCATTGTGACATGGCAAATAATCATATATGGCTGGTTTTTAAAACATATTGTTTTAGATATTGAAAATGGTCCAATGCTCATTTACCTCTTACAGATTTGATGTGGAACGATCCAGTTAATATATTGTACACAAGGTTCCCTCTACGGTGTGTGCCTGCATACAAACATGATTCTGCCCTCTCCGTGTGGCCTTCCACCCCCTCTGCACAGTGACAGTGATTGTTTTCAGCACCTTTGGTTCTGGTTGCACCTGGACACGCGGTGGGATTGTGTACTCTGGCAAAGTCACGTGTGAGGGGCAGAGCCCCACCCAGTGAGGCTGAAAATTAGAGGGAATGTTGACTGTACATATATACATATATATTCCGTGTACTACAGTATTTGTATTTAAATTTATGCGAGATGGAGTACTGGGTTTTAATATATTTATATATTCTTTTCTTTGTAGCTGAAGAAAATGGCCCCTGAATACTATGACCATCTTCCACAGTATAACTCCTGGATAAAAGTGCTTTATGACTTTGTGATGGATGACACTATCAGCCCCTACTCACGCATGAAAAGGCACCTAAAAGGAGAAGTGAAACTGGATTAACTATACACCAAAAATGTTATCTCTGCATACACAAGGGACATGTTTTCAGAATAGCTTGCATAAAGCTTGATAAATGTGTATTATTTGTTATCTTGACCTACGTTGGAATAGGAGTGTATTGGTACATTTTATAACAAGATCTGAGGAATTAAAATATTGCCAGAACTAGAACTATTTTTTTCATATAATACATAAATGTTCTGTGCATAATGCTAGTATTAATGTTACATAATGTGTTCAGTAGCTGTTGACTCAAACATTGGTTCTTTAAACCTTTAGATACATGAGAAGTACATTGATTGTGTCTATTTTTGCCGCTTACAATGGTCATTATACTGACTCTCCAGTGTTCTGCAAAGATTTCTAAATTGACTCCATGTTATGGTTTTAATGAACTGTACTGGAACAAAATTCCTGGCTGCAGTTCCTTTAAAACAGAGGTATGTTTTCAGAAAGTAAATTCATTGAGTCACTTGGACTACTCTAATTGGGAGTAGTAATGGGATAATTACCATGGGCATCTATAGGAAGAGGCACCTTTTTGTGGAAACAGTTTTGCCTTCCCTCATTTCTGGGTTAATGCATAAAGCCGTATGATAATTGTCAAACTGATGCTTAATTTGAGGCAGGCTGGATGACCTGAGAATTAGAAATGAAAAATAGGAGCACAGCTGAGATGTTGTAGCAAAACTCTTAGGCACTTGAATAAAAGGCTTTTTTTAAAAAAAATTGAGTTGATGAAAATATGTGGGATATTCTTGAAAGGATGGTTGAAACACGGGAGTGGACTTCTGGAACTAACTCTTTACAACATTACTTATTTGTGTAATGCTTTTTAAAGCTGGTTTTGAATGACTAATAATGCACACTGTCTGTTTCTCTGCATGTGGGAAGAGAGTGGCCTCAAATATTTCCACTTAAAACCTTACAATTACATATGGTCTTGAAATGGGGAAAGTATTTAAATAGGAGCTAGATAAGCAAGCTGTGCTGCCTAAAGTTAAATATTTAACATAATCTTATCAGACTTTTTGCCCTACATTTTAGGCTGCAGTTCAAAAAACCTTCTCACCTCTAACAGCTGGCTGTCATTGACAGCCATAATTTGCTTATGTGTTCCTATACCATCTTTGAAACAGGGTAATGTTAAGTTGTTGCAAGCCGTTTGTGAGCCTAGCCCATAATTTATATCTATGTGCCAGGTTGACAAGTGTATTAATTCAAAACAAGGCTATTTAAATTGCCAAGAAAAGTCAGTTTAAATTAAATTAGAATGCATTTATTTAACTAAAATCACAATGTACATGTTTTCTAATGCCCATAAAAAAGTTGATCTAAACTACCATAGTCCTGTATCTTCAGAAATAGAATACTGAGTGAACTAATTGAAGAGGTAGGAGAAAAACGTGACCTAAATGGAACACTGGTTGGCACCTGTGGTGACAAATTGGCATTGGCTACCCTTTTGTGTCAAGGCAGAATATAAACATGTTGAAATATAAGCACAGTATGGTAAGATGTTTACAATCCATTCTCCCTCTCCCTTCCTTCCACATTACCTTTATTAAAACAGGTTTTAAGAAAAAGACAAAAATTGTGTGCCATCTGTCAGTACCACTCTCAGCATGGCTGGGGAGTTCTTATTTACAGTCCTTTCTTTACAGTTCTGGTTAGGTCAGATTTCTTACTGAAGAACATTGTTTCATGTAGTTCAAACATTGTATTTAAGTTATTTAGTTTTAAAAAGATTTATAAGTGAAATACTGCTTTTTTTCACCCATGTGGTTCATGTTCTTAGCTGGCAAAGAACATGTTTCAGTTAATTGCGCTATCGCCATCACTATGTTAAGATATTGCCTAGTGATTTCATTGGCTCAGCTGCTTTGAGTAGATGCCTGTTTTAAAAACAACCATTCCTTTCTTTTCTCTCTCTCTTTTCGGCCTCTTACGTTGCTCCTGTGTAAAAGCACATACATCTCTGGGTGTTCTGCTCATCTGTTTACAGCCTGAAGATGGCTTTGGTGTTGTACACATTCTTCAACTAGTTTAAATTTAGGCCAATAAAGTTTGTCTGCTTGCAGTATGTGTGTATTCTTACCTTAGTCTTCTCCATGGGCAATTTCTTCAGATTCAATGAAGGGGATTGTAACAGCCTCCTTATACCTCACAAAGGGGCTATTACGTCACACTCAATCACTCTTCTGTACCACTGCCACCAACCATTCCCTCAAATGAAGCTTCAGGCCAAAGTATGATTTAAAAATAAAAATAAGGTTTATTGTATACAACAAAAGGAATGGTAAATCACTTGTATGTAAATAATAAATCAATCACTATAATATAACAATCACACACACACTCTCACAGACTCTCACTATATAGCACAGATCTTATCTTACAATATCTCCAACCCTAACCGTCCCTAACTCTAAACCCCTATCTGTAAGCCCTATCTCCAAACCCTATCTCAGAGCCCTATCTGCCCTATCTCAGAGCCCTATCTAACTCTCTCACACCATTCACTCCCCTTATATACAACAACTCCACCCCTTAAGTCCCACCCTCCGTCATGCCATTGGTAGATGACACATAGCTTCAGCAGTGACGGGCAGGTGATGTCATAGCTGTCTGTAACAATACCTCCCCCCTTTAAAAGTTGTTTTGTGGGGGAAAGCTAAGGTGCTTTTCACCCAAAACAACTGGAAACAACATTAAAACAATACATTTCCCCACATATCAACACTTACCATTATCATATCAAGCACACTTTTACATAACCATATTACTCAAAATATACTT